TAGTACATTTTAATCATGTCGGTTAACAGTTAATGGTCGGTAAACGAGTGTTTGCTATCTGTCAGAAAAAAATTCAAAAGGAACACCCCTAGTATGTACCAAACATTTGTACCTGGCACAAATTAGTTGTATGTATTAGTCTAGTGACTGTTTATTTATTCTAAACATTTTCATGGTGCCAAATATCACAATACTAGACCTTTTCTGTTGTTGATGGAAATGCACAGTGAATTCTGATGATTCTGATCCGAAACTCAGTCTGGCTCTACGTTTGAATGTCGAGCTGGTGGAAATGAAAAGATGAGATGCAGAACAGATGCCCAGATAACAAACAGTGATGTCCCACTGTCTTGCTCTCTGCCAGCACCCGACAGACCTACAACATCTGGTACAGAGCTTTACACACTCTTTCATCAAGTGTGTCTGGCTTGGTGTATGCAGATGTGTCGCAGACAGGCTAATGTTGTTGACAAACCGTTTTGGTCTCAAGGTCTGTGTTAAGATCCCAACCATACTCACCGACCACGTTTTCAGTTTATGGCATGAACCAGTAGCCATTTGTGTGTCCGAGGCATGTATTTTTTCATATTATCATGCAGTTCAGACACAGAACATCTCCCCATTTAGCTTCCACTGGCTTTTAAACATCATTTCCAGCTGTTTTCCACATTTTTGTCATGAGCACATCCCTATAACCCCATTTTCGTGTGTCTCAGTGGGTGTGGCAGAGGTCTGTTTTTACCCTGTTTTGCAGTGTCTTACCATGAGAGTGACCTGGGAACCTCTTTCCTGTAAGAATGCTCCCTCAGGGGGCCAAAAGTTTAACTTACCATCTGCGACCTGTTAAGCTCATCACTGCAGGAGGCAAACTGCGCAGACACTCTCCAAAGCCTTGATTTCTCGAGGACGTGATTCTTCAAGTATTTTTCTGGATTTGCATGTTTTTAAGTGCACAATTCACAATTATTGACTTGTAGAGACATTAGAGAAATTAACATGGGTACTTGCTCTAATGACACTTGTGATTACCAGCATTAATCAGTGACATACCTGGAGAGCAGTCATTCAGAATTAGGTGGTAACACTGGCCTGGGTGTGTTTGGCGCTAGGATTCAGATTTGACCTTGGTCGTCCTCCCAATTAGTTGTTCCCAGAGAAAAAGAAGTTAGCCCTTTGTTATATATTGTGGGATATAGTTTATTGGAAGTACTGATTTTGGGCAAATACACATTATATGGGCCTTGAGAGCCATAAAATATAAGTAACTGAAATGTTGTAAAAGTCACACTGTTGGAGTTTTGGCAGAATTGGGCCTGGTTCCTTTTTACTGTAACGTCTTTGCACTATAAATACAAATTAATCACATGGGCGCAGGCAGCAGTGAGTCAGTGTTGATGCTGTTAGCGTTATAGTCATGCTGCTAAATATGTAGAGCTTTGGTGTTTTAACAGTAAATGTACTAACTGGCTTATGAATGACCAAATACTCGATTTACAGCAAGTCTAAATATGTAAAGAGTGGGAGTCACAAACTTAAAATAATGACATTAGATTTAATTTAAAGAACATGTGAATTTAAAAACACATGGACTATATCACCTTTACAACCAGCTATGCTTTTGTTTAAATGGCAACTGAAGAATTAAAAAGTGTTGCTACGTGAAGAAGTGACGTACTCGTATAATAATTTTTTAGGTCACTGGTCATAATAAATTATTCAACTTTTAAACGTGCATGCGCTTTAAAGCACGTGCAAAAGACCTGCTAATGCACTGGAATATTTTATATTTTCTTGTGAGTGAAGGAAATCTACCAGCTAGGAATTAATGAATACACTGGTAGCATGTTTTGTACCATGTAGCTCAGCCTCTTCATAATACAGTACATCTTAGCACTACGACTGTAGAATGAGAACTGAATGGTCTGTCAGGGTTTCTCTTTTTAAAATGATCAAATAAGCTACTTTAAAATAGGCTGTGTCACATCTCAGTAATGATTTTGAACACTCTGGGGATCCAGGTTATCAGAAGTCTTTTTTGACTCCCTCAAGTCCATCAGTGTCCATTGTGTCTTGAACCTGCTAAAATTCATTTGAGAGTGACAATCACATAAATATTCAACAAGTAGAGGCTATAACTTAGGTCGGACATTACCAGACAACAAGATTGTTTTTCATAATCCTTAAAAGGACCATTACAGGTTTTCGTAAGTGTAGACAGGGCCATTGTCTTGTAACCAGCTCAAAACCAGTCTAGCCCACAGTGGCCTGACGATGGAGACAGAAAACCTGCCTGGATCCAAGTTGCAGTCAGAAATAGAATCAATAACAGCAGTAACCTGATGAGGAGACTGTTGGGAATTGAGAAATAAAAAAAACATTAAAATGAAGTGAAAATATTATGAATAGAATTCCAGCTTTACGCCACAAGCGGCCCTATGCTCAGGCCTTTTGCTCCTGGTGGGGGGTGGAGGAGTTGGGGAGCACACCACAGGCCCCTGAAGATCCCCCCCCCCCCCCACACGATTCCAAAACACACCCACCCCCCTGTCCGTACTGGGGCCAACCGCAGGAATGTGAGCCGCTGTCAGGAAGCTGTAAAGTGCTGATGCGGAGGTCAGCGAGCGTTTACACACATGTGGCTTTACTTTCACAACTCCATCTTTTCTTTTTCTCCTTTTCTCCTTCATCTGCTCCTTGTTTTTTTTCTCGCCTTATCTTCATCTTTCCTGAGACACCCCCCCCCTTTATTATTCTTTTCAACATGAAGGTCCACTATGGTGAGTGTGCCTACCTTGGGTCCCAGCGGTGTTGTTTCTGCTGCAACAGGTTGTACTGTAGGGCATAGGGTCATAGGGTTAGGCCTGTTAGTTGGGTGGCACTAAATTAGCATTAAGTGTGAAATATTTTTTTAGTTATACGGTACATAACATGTCATGTTATAACCACAATGCATGAATAGTTTTTGCTATAGGTGAGGACAAAGGACAGTATTATTAAACAAGATAATGGAAATATAAAATACTATAGTGTATGTAACGTTTGATGTAGTGGTGTTAAATGTGGAAGGAGGACACCTAACCTGTTTCTTGAAGGTGACTGAGAATGGTCTACTTGGCTTTACCAAACCAACACATCAGAGAAGACTGTTCATGGCCTGTATTGGCAAGACTGACTATTTTCATCGCCTGAAAATGTTGACCATCTGTTGTGTAAAAAAATGGACATTGTGCAGGTCCAACATGGAAAACAGTTTTGAAGCGCCAAAAAGGAAAGGGGAAAAAAAATGAATGAGAGCATTTGTAAAAGTAATCTTTACTTAAAGAGGAAATCCACAAAAATGTTATTTGTTTTTTCACCCTATACTATTGCAAGTGATTATGTGTACAGTGCAAAACAAATATCTTCTCAAAGCCAGGACTTTGGGATACATCTAGTTTGTTGCCCACAAGACCAACAGGTGAAGGCGACACAGACCCAGTTCAAGACCTCTGTGATCGTCTGGCTTATTAAAGTCATGGGGAGGGCTCCTTTCTCTAGTTTTTAGCAATTTTAGCAGCATAACTCTAGGGATGACAATGCCGATCTGTCAGACAGAACCCCTGACTTTAACTTCAGCAGCACAAACAGGTTGAGATTATGAATCCTAAGGGCTTAAGTGATCCTCTGGCTTTCCCTCTAGCTCCACTGTGAGGTTGATGTTTGTGGTTTCCAACTGTTGGATGGATTGCCATAAAATTTGCAGTGCACATTAGAATCCTCTGAATTTTCATTTACCATCAAAATTCAAAAAGTATGTCCAACACATTTGTTCATGACCAAATACCAACATTCCCCTTGGCCTCAGATGCACTGTTTTACTGCTAATTAGCAAATGTTACCATGCTCACATGCTAAACTAAGATGGCGACCATACTATAAACATTCTAACTGTTTAACATTAGTATATTAGCATTGTCATTTTGATCATATTACCATGATGACTTGTAGTTAGCCTCACAGTGCTGCTAGCATATAACATAGGTGAGAAGTAATGGGAATGACATACAATGATCATGAATGTGAGAATCAAGGCAAGAACAGCTAGCCAAATTTATTCCCCTGGCTTATTATACAAAACTTGTTAAATTGTGTCGGCAACTCAAATGTTGTACAAGAATAATTTATTTTCAAGATCTAACCGCAAGAGCTCGATGACACTAAATAAGTGAGATCAGGCTGCAGACACCTAGCCCAGCAGACGTGCCACAGGGCAGCCTATTTCTGCCTTAGTTGTGAAAATCCTGATCTCATTAGCTGTCAGTATTGTCTTTGACTGTTTCGAGGAAGCCCAGAAATTCCACAGGGTGGAACGCACCGGGCCAGATTGGCCATGTGGTTCTGCTCCGCTTCAGGAAACACCAGCCGTGGACTGTAGTGTGAGAGCAGGCAGCTCTGTGCTCTTGTTTTGACGGAGGCAGCGAAGGCACAGCTCCCTTCTCCTGCTCCTCACATTCCACTTTCTGCAGAATAAACCTCTCGCACCATCTCACTTTCAGTCTTCATCTCCAGTTTTCACCACTAGAATGTGTTTTCTGTGTGCGAGATGGTAAATCTGGAATACATGTGTCTTAAATTTCACACTGCTTTCTTTTTGATATGTGTTAAATAATAGCTTAAAATATGATATCCTGATGTCTTTTGTTAAAATTTCGACCCTTTTGAGCCTCATAAAGGTTTTATGGAACAACAAGTTGCATTTTTTTCTACTTGCACTTTTCATACTGTGGTATAAATCATATAAATTTCCAGAGTTGTGAGTGGTGACTTATGTTATTCTGTATTACACACTTAAAAATGACAAAAACACTAAAATGCCAGTGTTGTGCAATTTGCAATTTTTTGAGCCTCCAACAGTGTTGACAAGGAAACTACAAATGTTGAACCATAGGCATGCACTTGTCTCATACTCATTGTAAATTTGCCTAAAGCACGGTTTGTTTCTTTCTTTCTTTCTCCATCAGCACTTTCAGACCATGCTGAAGACCAAGCTAAATGTGCTGACGCTGAGGAAGGAACCGTTGCCCACGGTGATCTTTCACGAGCCTGAGGCCATTGAGCTTTGCTCCACCACACCGCTTACAAAGAGCAGGACCCATGCTGGATACAAGGTAGGATCACATGAGCCTAATAATCCCCAAATCCAGGCCTGTTCCTGAACAGTAAATCTATAATAGCATTAATAGAATCATAATCCAACTGTTTTTCCCTTTCTTTCTGGACACACAAGTTATATTCATTCCTCTGTGCACTCCCCCCAGCACACTTTTTGAAAGTTTTTGTGTCTGAATCACATCTTTGAATAATTAATATTAAATGTGTGTATGTGGCCACACGTGTATGCGTGTGTGCGCTCTGGCATGGGTGTGTTTGTTTTCCTCCTCTCCCTGGCTCTGTTAAGTGTCAGATGTAGGGTTTCAACCAATGAGCTGTTGGACTCGCAGCCTATTCTCTTTTTCATTGTCCTCAAAACAGAAAAACAAACAGGGCTACAGATTAAAATAGCAGCCACGCTCTGTTATTACACATAATACTTCCAACCAAGTAACTGAGTGTGTCTTTGTGCGTTTGCTTGCCTTGTGCCAGAGCATTGTAAGCATAACAAATAAAGTGAGATGATTGTGGGCACATGTGAGACAACTTGACGGGGCCGTGTGGGTACAAGGATTTAGGGTTTTTTTTTTCTTAGTTCTTAAAATGTTGTTTTTGGTCACTTGTGCTGTATGGTTAACAAGCACGTCAGGAAAGGAGTTGAAGCTGTTCCAACTTTACCTAACTAAAACAAACATTTCATATCTGGCAGATGCCTTAAAATGTTGAGGAAAAAGTAATTCCCTCTTGAAATTATTGCCAAGAAACACACACATGGAACACACAGTCCCCATGCTTGATGTTGATATTTGAGTTTGTTGGATCACCGTACAGAAGAACTAACAGAAACACACACTGTATATGTATTTATATGCATTGAAAAAAAAAAATCCCAAGGCAGCTAAGAGGCTGAAAATGCTGAGTCATCATAAGCAACTTCCCAAAAACTCCTGAAATTCAAATGTGAAGATGAAGTGAAAGTTGAGAGTCTTTACAGGCAGACATACTTACACACCCAGACATGGCGATAAATAGGGTAAGTAGCAGGGTTTTCATTGACTCATGGTCAAATAAAAGTGGTCTCTTAGTTTTGTTGTAGGAATTATTAAATCTTAAATAACAATTTGATTCATGAAATAGGAGCTAATGCTGTGAATGTATTCAAGAATTCATCTTTAATTCAGTGAATTAAGACGATGAGAGGTCTGTGATGAGAGCTGACAGATGACCACTTTGTTTAAAATTAAAGAAAAAAAACATTCCTGATGTGATTTTAGCTGATGATTTATTTACTACAAATCCTTTCACCCGTTATGCTGCTCTTGCTCGTGTTCACGTCTCTTAAAGACAGCTGTTATCCTGCTAGTTATGATAAAATCCAGCAAGACTTCCTCCTCTTGTAAATGCGGCAGTGGTATTGTTGAAGCATGTTTTCACTGACTTAAACTACACAGGCAGACTAGTAAGATAACACTCAAACTCCTTCATGTTCTCATCAATGTCACATATAGAATACGACACTGATGCAAACGTCATCATGTCTGGTGATTTAAATATGTTTGGTGAACCCCAAAGGAAACGACTGTGTCTCGGTTATGTCCTGACTAGATATAAAGCCGACACCCTTCCTCTTTAAGGTCTTTCTCCATTATACAAACAAAGGTTGAAGATGAATGGCCGAAATGGACTGACAGATGTTAAGTGTTGGGTAACAGTTTGAAGAGTTTATTCATTCATTGTTCTTAAACGCTCAGTAAAATTATTTTAGCATCTTTAGCTTGAACATGCTCCATGTGTCGTTACACGGCAGGTAATAAAACCTCAACAAGCTGTTCCAAATAATATACACACTTCCAAACCCATGATATTGCTGTTATAGCTACCATAGCCCATGTGCTAACAGATATGGGTTCTTTTTAGCAAGCTAAGTGATTAGATTCTATATGATAAGGGGGTTAGCTGGGCACTACAAATTACATTTGATTGGATACATTTATGTACATTCCCACAAATGCAGGAAGCGTTATCAAACGTTTTAGCATCAGGACTTTAAGATTTGACCTATAGATGCTTGATAATAAAACACAATAGCAAACACAAGATCATGGATAATGTAGTTTTTGTTTGACTGTGTCGTTAAGACTTTTCACTCAATAATAACCTAAGTGACATGTTGCGTCACAACTTACTGACTCATCAGCATCCCAGTGTTCAGTGCGTCATGCTCAATTTCCCACTGATTAATTGTTTTTAATCACCTGTCATGCACTGGCAATGTGTTTCTTTTTTTCTTTTTTTTTTGTGGACCTAGAACTAGAAATAAGAAGTGTTCAGCTCTAACAGCAGTTTATCTTTATTTTTTTAATCTAACGTCAGCAGTGTAATGATGCACAGTTTTTCAGTGGGAATCATGGTAGCAGTGACACACAGCAGCCTCTCTTATCATCCGACTGGCAATCGCTGCCGTGATGGAAGATAAATATTGATATATCGCCTAGGTGAACGCTGCACAGAGCTGGACTTGGTATCCCTCTCTGTCTAGTGTGAATCCCAGCATCCTCTCGCTGCCCGCTCCTCTTTCTGTACCCACTGCTCTTTCCAGCGTTGCTGAGAATGCCAAAGCCATGTTGCCATGGATACCACTACAGCTATTCAGCAGAATACCAGCCACACACAAAAATAAATTCATTTCCCTCATCTGTCTGCGACCTCCTTATTTGCAAGTCTGTCTGTCTTGCCGCCCGCATCTGTTGGCCTGTGTATTGGCTTGTGTAACTTCCCGTCTGAGTCACTACCTGCCTGTCTGCATATCTGTCTGCCCACCTGCTTCAGCACCTCTGCTTCCACTGTTAGACCTTAAAGAGACATTATTTTCTTTTCAAGGGCGAAAACTGAGGAAACAATGGTCTTTTTTTGCACTTCTTGCCCTCATTACTGCTTGGCTTTTTTATATCCTACAATACAATATGATACAATTTATTATCCTCATGGACTGCTTTATATTCCCTGTCTTTCATTTCTCACTCCTTTCTCCTTCTCTCCGCTCTCTCCCAGCCCCCAGGTGTACTCCCAGTTTACAGGCAGGCAGGAATGCTGGCTAAGGGCTGCTGTGCCCCTGCCAAAGCTAACAGCTAGCAAGGATGAAAGGCCACCTCTCATTGCCCTGCCCGGGCTGCTGCTGTCAAAAGAGGTCCACTTCATGTCCATTGAGAAAACGTGCTCAATGCACTTAACAGCCATGCCAGCCCCACAGTCGTACTCCGTGACAATGGTGAAATTACTTTGGAGACCGCTCAAAACACAACTCGGCTCCTTGCTCATGACTTTGTTGTGTTTTAAATTTAATTTGCTCCCTACTTTCCAAGAGCATAAACAGAGAGAATGTTATCAACACACTGACACTGAGGACTACACAGTTTGGTCAGGGATAGTGTTCATTTTTAACACTCTGCTCTTGTCTCTTCAGGGTCATGTTTTCAGGGGGGTCAGGCTAGAACCCTCACTAGTCAAATTAGGTTTTATAAAAGTGTACTTTTGCATGCTGCCCCTTGGCTATGCATGTGTAGTGAGACAGTGTGTAGACTGTAGATGTGTTACCATGGATGTTGAGTAGAAACTCCTCCATCAAAATGCTGCTAAAAGATCATATTTGTGTTAAAGTTATCAACAATCAATCAATTTGTTCATTGACAATATTTTGATTATTCATTCATGCTTAATTAATCTTTTTCATCTTTTAAGCAAAAATGCCAAACATTTTTTAGTTCCAGCTTCTCAGTTGTAAAGATTGCCTTTCTTTTTGTTTAATGCTTTAATGCTCTTGTCTGTTTCCTAAAATGTGAAATTATTCCTTTCAAAGGTATAGAAAGCTCAGAATTGTGAATTTGTAGCTAAATATGTCTTAATAATGACTGATGTTTTGCTATCAGACCTTAGAAATATCATTTGCCTAAACTGCTCCCATATTTCTTAACTTAAACTATATTATATTCACTTTTCTGTTCAGACACTTGGTTTAAAAAACAGTTTTGGCATTGTTTCATGACACTGAGGGGAAGAAAAAGGTAAAAAGAAACACTGCAGTCACCTGGGATTTGTCAGGATTGTCAATGTCAATGATTGTCAATGATGTTACAGTAGAAAAGCAGAGGTGTAAATAGAAATAATTAATGATGGCTGAATTCCGTTTAGCTGCTTCAGTTTCAGGGTCCTGATATTGCTCATGCTGGCTCACTGTTACACTGTCATGACTAGCTTGGGACTCTTAAATAGAACTGAGCCATCATAACTGTTATTAGTAACATGTGTGCTTTTACTGCTATGACACGTCAAAATGTCTGCTGTAAAATAGAGCCCGTTGTCATTTGCAGCCCAAGTTACCTCTGTTTCTGATTCCTCTGCTGGGCATGATTTCCCTCATGTGTAGTTGAACCAAACCAATGATAGTGCGTGATTCTCCTACACTGATGTCATTCACGCTGGCGGCCCAGGACAGGCTGGTCCTACCATGTCTTTATCTTATCTGTCAGGCAGAGAGGCTTTTTGTCCCTCTGTAATTGGTATGCTGATGTCAGTCAGTGTGCTGGACGTGCCGTCACTTCTCCTCCAGTGAACGAGAACAGCACGCACAGTGATGACATTTAGATGATTAGCAACCATCCAGGGTGAGCTGCCTGGTGCTCCCAGTTCCCTGCTGCATGCATGAATGTCTGTCTGTCTCTGTTTTGGTCTGGTGGAGCCTTTGTATCAGTGGTTTTGGACATTAGCTTGCTTTGCCATCTGTAATAATGTACAAACATTCCTGGGTTGTGTATTTCCAGCTTAAACAGTGTCCATCATGTTGTTGTCAGACCTAACAGCTAATGGGAGCAGCCGATATGTTTCTGTGTGAAGGTGGGTTCTGCCTTCAACCACAGTTATTAGGATGGTGCTCCACACAAAGTGTTTAAATTTCAGTGTCAGTTTCCTCTTACTGTTTGGTTATGTTTGCAGAATATTTGTGTGCACCAGTCTAGGGTTG